CCCAAAGGTGCCCCAGGAAGTCGAACGAGGCTGGAGTGTGGAGGTGAATGAAACCTGCACCCGGTTCCGACAGACAAGTAAATGGGAGTTGGCAGGCCTGGTGGGGACCCTGCAGGCAGAGAACAGCGCTTCCCGGTGGGCAGAGTGCCCGACACCGCAGTCTGGGCAGGGGGCAGCAGGACACCTGTCTGACATCATGAGCACAACCACCTCTTATCACCACAAATTGGGGATAACAGAGAAACACCCCACTTTGGAGGTAGGACGGTATTTGTATATTTGTGGACCTCCTATAGAATAGTGAATCTTCAACATTTGGGGGTGGGGGGACATGGAACCCTTCAAGAATGTGATTTAAACTGAAACAAAACAGACCCCCATAAATTCATCCTGGAGCCCCTGTTGAAGAAACCCTCCTGGAGACTAACGTGCATCCAAGCCAGCTGCAGCCACCGGGACCTACAGGCACAGGTACAGCTGGGCTCCGTCTCCCCGCCTCTCTGCCCCTTCGGGATCACCCCCCTTCTCTGACCCAGCACCCCGGAGCCACCCACCGCTGAGAGAGGCCAGCCCAGCACAGCCTGCTCACCCAGGACCGGGGAGCTCAGCTGGGGGAGGTCCTGCTTCCTCTTCCTGCAGCTCACACATGTGTGGGCGGCTCGGGCTGTGCTGGCCCGTGTTTCCCCTGGGCCCACAGTCAACCCTTCAGCTAACAGTGTCTGAACAGAACATTCCATCCACGGCTGTCATGCAAGTGGGAGGCTCTTAGATGATGATCTATGAAGAGATCGACACAGTAAACAAACATAACAGAGAAGGCACGAGTTCACATGGAACACTTAAGGTCTGGAGCCTCTACCCTGGCCGTTCACCCCTTCCTCCTGTTCCCCACCCCCGAGCCTCAGTCTCCCATCTGGAAATAGGGCTGCCGGATCCCCAGGGTAGACAAGAAGTCAAATCGAGGGAGGTAATGTGGGTGAAAAGTACTCCGAACTCTAAGCCTTCCGAAAAGCCATGCGTTACTATTAGAGAAATCATTGGAGAACTAATGATAACATCCCAGGAAAAGCAACCAGCTTTCTACTATAACACCAAAACAAAATTTTAAATTAAAAGAGAGAGAGAGAGAGAGAGACCCAAGGGGGAGAGAATGGTGTCTGTCATTTGTTATAAGGTATCATAAATACCATTTATTTATTTATTCATTCATTCATTCATTCATTCATTCATTTGTTAGACGAGTTCAGAATGGACAAGGAAGGAAAAGGGCCCTGAGTATAATTCCGGGTTGGATCAGGAACTCCCAGAGCTCTGGCTGGCACTCTTCCCTCTTGACGCCACTGTGTCTGCCCCAGAGTCGGGCCAAGGGTGGTTCCGGTTCCCTGTGGCTCCACCAGCCACTGCTTTTCCCCATCACTCCACGACTCTGCCCCCTGGCTTCCAACTGATTATGGGGGATGAGCCAGTAAAGGACAAGATAAATCCAGAGGACCTCAGTCGAAAGCAAATTAAGCAACACACATACAAGTTCAAATGCGGTTCAACCCAAGTTCGAATGCTTCATTCATATACTGTTCCTTGTGTATTTTCTCCACGCACACTGCTGGGGGGAGTAGAAACAAATCTGCACTGCAGCAGCGAATACACACTAGCAAGTAGGTGACTAGATGACAGAGGTTTGCAGGGAGACAGCCAATCCAGACTGCAAGCAGTCCCTGGGTGAACGCGGAGGGCGTGTCCAGCAAACAGCAGGAGAGGGCCAGGGTGGTCCACACAGAGCCCTGAGAAGCTCAGAAGGCCGTGAGAGCCCTACAGGATTTTCAGCCTGAGATGGTTTAAACTTACGCATTTTTAAACACCCTCCCTGCAGACAGTGATGCAGAGGATGGAGGGTGACAGAAAATTGAAGGTGTTAAGATCTTTGGAAAGAAACTGTCAGAAACTATTGACATAATGTAGGCAACATGCCACAAGAGCTTGGAACTCAGCAATAGCAACTAAGGTAACAAGGAAAGGGGTAAATGAGAATTCAGACATTTGGAGAAGGAAAAGTCCTGACCTCAGCCCTCAACTCTGCCACTTGGTAGGTATGTGACCTGCAGGTTACGTAACATCCCTGAGCCTCCGTTTTATTATCTGTAAAATGGGCTTAACTGTACAGGAGTGTAATGAGAATTAAAGAGAATGAGTGTAAAGAGATGAACCTGACACACGGCAGGCACTCAAGAACGTCAGCCCCATGGAAGGAAATGGTAACTCATGACAAGGTTGGGGTCAACAGGACCCAAACAGGAAAGAATGTGCAGAGATGAGCCACAATGAAACCTCAGTGTTGGGCAGTGAGGCTTGCCCATGGACTCCAGCAGGAACCTACATTAAAACATTTGCCAGCAGGTGCCTGGGTAGCTCAGTCGGTTAAAGGTCCGGCCCTTGGTTTGTGCTCAGGTCATGATCTCACGGTTCGTGAGTTCGAGCCCTGCGTCAGGCTGTGCACTGACAGTGTAGAGCCTGCTCGGGATTCTCTCTCTCTCCGTCTCTCTCTGTCCCTCCACTAGCGCTCTCTGCCTCTCTCAAAACAAATAAATAAACTAAAAAAAAAAAATTGCCAGGAGAAAGAGCTGTGTGCCCCGTGACTCCCCACAGAGTGACTCCAAATGCAGGTGACACAGGTCATGTGACCCAGAGGACCTGCTTCTCACTGCCAAACCCCACCCCCTATGAAGGCTCAGGCTTGCTACTGCTCAAGTCAATGTACCAGCACTGTTTCCCTTTTGCAAAGAGAACCGGTAACTCAGAGAACCCCTGATACTTCACCGTCCTCCCTTCCTTTCTGCCAAACCCACAGACAAATGGGAGGGGATCCTACTGAGGAAGTAGGACTGGAGTTAAGTGTTTCCTGGCTTCTTCCCAGGAAATGGCAGGTGTGAGCATGCTGACCAGACTCCCAGGACACCCTGGCGTTCTTCCCTTCCCAGTCAAGTGGATTCAGGCCAGGCTCTGTGGGGCGCTCAGCACATGTGCTCCTTACCCGCAGCAGGGGCCCCTGGGAGCAGAGTGTAGCCAGCTAGCACTTTCTCTGTGGGAAGCCACCATCTGGCTCTCCACTGGAAATTCACCACTGTGTGGAAAGGCAAAGGGCAAACTTATTTCCGTTCACCAGGTAGTATTTGCTACATCACTTGTTTCCTATTTCAGTGCGTTTTAAAAATTTCCCCTAGGGTGTGAGCACAGAGGCGCTGTGTTGTGAAACATGGTTAACTAGAGGTGCTTTTTTCATGACATCACTCAGATCGGCTCTGTGCGTGTAGGGGAGCCAAAGCCCCAGCCACGGCCTGTTTTCTGGGATCTCAAAGAAATGCACAAAAGTGGGGGGGTGCATTTAGGGGAAGTAGCAGAGAAAAGAGAAGGACAAGGAAAATAGTGTCTCCACTGAAATTAAATGTGGAATAGCACTTGGCAGAGATGACCTCTAGAAAAAGAAACTTTACCCACTTCCTTTTACTGGTCACATTAGCTATGTGTCCGTTGTTTTTTAAAGCTCAAATGATTAATTATCTGACAGGTTTAGATCTGTTACTCTCAGTATGGCTTATAACATCATATTAAAAATATTCAATTATTTTGCCCAAATTGCCAGAGACTCTGTATCATCTAGATGTCTTCACGTGCTCTAAATCTGCAGGTGACTACGATGAAGAGGGTCAGAGGTCAGAGAATTATGCTTAAATAAATAAAAAAAAATTTTTAAGTTTATTTATTTATTTTGAGAGAGAGAGTGTGTGAACGAGGGAGGGTCAGAGAGAGAGGGAGAGAGAGAATCCCGAGTAGGCTCCCCACTGTCACCCAATGCGTGGCTCCAACTCACAGACCTCGAGATCATACCCTAAGCTGAAATCAAGAGTTAGACGCTCAACCGACTGAGCCACCCAGGTGCCCCAATAAATTTAAATAATGCACAAATAAATGCTTAGAAGTAGTTGACAATTAATAGAATTTTGGCTCACTGGCCTTTTAAATTGGCAGTAACACTGGGCCTGCTTGCCTACGTTGTACCAGTGGGCTGGCTGCCTCTTGGGGCATAAAATGGCTTCTGCCATTTCCCACAGTCGCCACTGCTCCAGATCACGCACTTCACCCCTTCACTCTCCCTGCCTGGCCTCCCAGGCATTTGAAAGCACAGTCTCTAGGTTAGACAGTGTATGGGTGTCTGTGACTCTGATCGGTGTAACCAGACAGACAAAACTGTGCTCCACACGAGTGAGTTATTATTTCTCAAATATATAGAAATAATCAAGCATTTTTCCAGGTCAACTCAGAGGAAGCCAAAAGACATTTATAAACAGAGCAAGGGGTTCTAGTTCCCAGCTCCTGTGGGTTGAGTCCCCGTTTTCTTATCCTGACCCCCTCCCTAACATTTTGTTGGCCATCACCAAGGGTTGAAAACCCCCTGCTTCATACCCCGCCCCCCCCGCCGCCGGCTTTACTGGGGCTGTATCATTTCTGGACACCAGCTCATGTTGAAAGTGGGCGGGGGCAGTGGGAGGTGTGAGGTGGGTGGGAAGGTCAGAGAGCAGAGTGATTCTAACGAGTGGGACCTTTTCATCAGAGACAGCTCAATCCAAGGCTCATGTCACATCACTGATTTCCAGAAAATACCAAGCAATGACATTTTTCATGTTTGCTTTGCTTTAAATAACAGAGATGTGTCCTTGAGCCTTTAATTCACGTTTGAATTAAACAGAAGTTTCCAGGGGCGCCTGGGTGGCGCAGTCGGTTAAGCGTCCGACTTCAGCCAGGTCACGATCTCGTGGTCCGTGAGTTTGAGCCCCGCGTCAGGCTCTGGGCTGATGGCTCAGAGCCTGGAGCCTGTTTCCGATTCTGTGTCTCCCTCTCTCTCTGCCCCTCCCCCGTTCATGCTCTGTCTCTCTCTGTCCCAAAAATAAATAAACGTTAAAAAAAAAAAAATTTTAAACAGAAGTTTGCATGCATAAAATACTTACCTTCCAGAGTTAGTACTCCGTCTGTCTTTAGAATGGAAGGTGGATGTGAGCAGGAGTCAAAGCAACCAGACAAGAAGGCTAAGCGGCTAGCCATCTGGGTGGCATAATTTCAGAGCTGCTGAGAAGGGTCACCTACCTTTTCTTCCCTCCTTACACACACATGTGTACAGACACATACACACACACTTGCACGCATGCCTGCCGAGGTCACCCATCTCTGCCAGAAACAGGGCAGGTGATCAGGAAGGGAACAAGCCGTGCAAGCAACAGGAACTGAGCATCGCAAGGAGCCAAGTCATGAATTACGACCACTTGAGCCTCACAGATAAGGTTTTTTCCTTTCACTGCTGCCAGCTCACTGTGTGCAAGGAGATCGTTCATTTGGAGTCACTGGTTTACATTTTGCATCAGGATAAACCTGACCCTTTCAACCTTTAGGGAAAACTTTTCCTAAGTCAATGAGTAAGTCCAAGCGTTCCGCCCGTGTGCCCCAAATGAGTTACAGTGATGCCCCCACACTGCTCCCCTCTGCTCTGGGAGAGGGCCACACGAGGTCTGTGTAGGCCAGTCAGCCTTCCCTGCCTCTGCTCACCTGCTGGTGGGACGTAAAATTAGCATGTGGCATGAAAAAGTTTGGGAATCATTGCCTGAGGTTTAAATTTTCACAAAAATCCTTAACATTTAGCTAGCTATCCACTGAAACAGGACCAAACAATGGTTGGACTTGATTTACTGTGCTTTGTTGTAATTCCATATTTTAAAGTTCAGGTTTTAGAGGTGCTTGGGTGGCTCAGTCAGTTGAGTGACCGACTCTTGATTTTGGCTCAGGTCATGATTTCACAGTTTGTGGGTTCGAGCCCTGCCCTGAGCTCCGCGCTGAACGTGGAGCCTGCTTGGGATTCTCTCTCTCTCTCTCTCTCTCTCTGCCCCTCTCCCCCGCTCAAGTTCTCTCTCTCTCTAAAATAAAAAATAATAAATAATAAAGTTCAGGTTTTAGAAAAACAATCTGCAATTTGCCTCTTCACTGTTTTCTCTGCTAATTTCCACTCCAGTGAAGCCAAACTCAAGCTGACTTGTTTTGGGAGGAGGCTCCTCACATCCTCCCTGCCAATCAATCCATCACGCTTCCCTCTCATTGATTTCTACCTTCCCCCACAAAAGTCTATAGTCTCCAGCGTCCCTCCAACAGCTGGGGCTGCCTCACCAGCATGGTGAGCCCATCCTCCACAGCCCTGTGGTGCTGCACCCGGACCCTGAGACCAAGGACAGCTACCTTCTCCTCTTCAGCGACTGGCTGGTCATCACCAAGCAGAGGTAATTTTAAGACTGTCACCGTGTCCCTCTTGGTTAAAAGGCAATTCCTTCCAGGTCTGCATCATCTCCCAGTGCCGTAAGGAGCTGCCCTTCACCTGGCAAGTAAGGCCAAGAGGCTGCATCCCTCGGGCAACATCACACATGGAGGGGGGAGAAAACTACACAAGAGGCGTATAGGAAATCCATCATTTAAAAATAAATCCTACGTGAACTAGGCCTTTTGGTTTGCTTACAGATGTAGTGTATTCTCAGCAATACATCTGAACTCAGAAACCTAGAAACGAATTGAGTTAACATTATTACCACGATAATCATTCTTCTCTTTGGGAAAATATGCAATTATACTTTTTCAATATTTGCATTAGATTAGGGGAGGCTAGGTCAACAGAAGTGCAATATTACTTTTCTTGCCTGTAGGACAACTGTATACTTGCAATGTCTCCTCTCCATTTTTCTCCCACTCCCCAGAACATGCATGTGCATGTATATATGTGTGTAAGATGCAGAGGCATTCAGGATACTTATCCAATCTAATTCATCATGGTTTCTGAAACAAGAGTTCCCACCCAGCACATCTTTTTTTTTTTTTTTTAATGTTTATTTAATTTTGAGAGACAGGGTGGAGGGGAGGGCAGAGAGAGGGAGAGAGAGAATCCCAAGCAGGCCCTGCAATGTCAGTGTAGGGCCTGATGCAGGGCTCAAACTCACACACCGTGAGATCATGACCTGAGCCAAAACTAACAGTCAGACGCTCAACCGACGGATGGACCCAGGTGTCCCCCACCCAGAGGATCTTTACAACTGTCCAGGCAGTTACTAGTTAAGGCCACTGATGGAGCCCAAACAATGCCTTACTTCCAGGAACTCAGGTTGTTAACTTGAGTCTGCAGAGCAAACACCCCAGGTTGCTGCCTCTCACTGGCTCTGGGCAGAGACGGAAGAGGGACCAAGGGGCCTTAACCACATTCCCCACTTTGCGCCCTCTCCTTCCCCCGCCCTTACAATTTTGAAATGTGAGCTCCACCCAAAGGAGAAATGGGAACAAGGGTCACCCACCAACTAGGTAACTCCTGCACTGTTTCAGGGAAGAGAAGAGGGGAGGGGGCCAAAGAGCCTGGTAGGCTGCAAAGAACACCACTCCGTGGACGCAGCAGAGTGGGAAAGATGGCAGCTGGGCCAATGGCCCATGAGCCACCCCATAGGCAGCGCCCACCCCTCAACTCTCCCTGCCCTGTACTCCTCTCCCTTTGCTTTGGGAGACTCCTCTCCTCTTCCCAGAAGATCAGGAAACTTAAAGGAAATGAAAAGCATCCTCTCTTCAGGGGAGGGCTGCTGGCCTCATGCGGTTTCCAAGGAAGCTCAAACCAGGAGCCACCAGCAGGCTTTGGGTGCAAAAGAATGTTCCAAGCCTTTGTAAGGGATACAGGGACCGAAAGAACACTCAGGGAGCCAGAGGGTGTGATCCCCACCGCCCACAAACAAACCCAAGGTGCAGTTAGAACCCCAAGGCAATGACAATATGGAAGAAGGTCACCCTGGAGTCTGGTCAGGAAAGGACTCCTCTGGAAAGGAGTCTGCCCGCCAGCTTCAGAGTCCTTCATTGCCAAGACACAATCAAGAGAACACTAGACTAGAGAGCATCACGGAGCAGGGTCCCAGGGAAACACCCACCCTCACCAGGCACTTGCAGAACTGAGTACCTATCCACAGCCTCACACGCCTTGGCTCGCTTAATCGTCCCACCCATTTCACAGAGGAGGTGAAGCTCAGAGAGACTGAGCGCTTGACCAAGTTCTGCCAGGTGGAAGTGGCGGAAGCAGGCCTTAAACTTGCATCCTAGTCTCCAAGTGCAACTGTCAAGGCACCTCCCTCTGGTCCTGGAGGGATCAGAGGTGAGTCACACTCCCCAGGGGCACTCCCCAGGGGCACGTGCACATCACAGAGGATTCTGGGTGTTTTTCAGAAACAGGCACAGGGAATGTGTGCCAGCCTTTCAAAAAGTCCACACAGGCAGAGAAAAGCCCGGGGGAGGGCGGGATGGGCGTTGGGGGGGAGATACAGACATTAGGGATTCATCAGGGAAACAGGGGGGGCCCCGGAGGGAAACCTCTGAAATCCAGGGTCAGCAGCAGGGTCTTTATACAAAGCATGGCCCAGAACCCTGGGAAAGACGGCGGGGGGCGGCGGCCTGCTGCTGTAGCAATGGAAGAAAGGACCCTATTTTGCATGATGCTGATGACTGTAGCCACACGGGAAAGGAGGAGGTTGTTAACACTGTCCTCCCGCTTTATAGCAAGAAGAGCACTTGCGAATTTTTCACTCTCATTTGATTTCCCTTGAAACGTTCTATTTTAAGCTTTGGGGGGGAAATGTGCCACATTTTAAAGAGCTGCTCGCATCTAGCCCCAATGATTATTTTTTCTAGATGCTTAGAGATTTCAAAGAATTCAAAACATCTGGCATCCTGCCCCCTGATCCCTCCTGGCCAGGGGATGTGCTGTGTTTTCAGAGCCCCGAGAAATCCCCCGGGGTCACAAACAGCGGCGGGGAAATCCTGACCCTCTCTCGGTCTCGAGCACAAAAGATCCCGAGAAAGGGAAGCGGCCGCTCCCCGCCGGTGGCGGCCCGGACGCTGCGCAGGCGCGCGCTGAGCCTCGCCCCCGCCCCCTCCCTCTCTCTCTCTTTCGGACGAGCCCCTCCCCCCCCCCCCCCCCCACTCCTCAAAGCCGGTTCATCGTCCCCGCAGTGGAGCGGGGGAGGGAAGGAGTGCGGGCCGCCGGCGTCCGTTGCAAAGGACAGCGAGCTGCGAGCACACCTCGCACACGCAGGGGGCGCCGTGGGCCAGACCTCGCCGCGGACCTGCCACGTGGCGTCAGAGCCAGCCCGCGGGTCCAGGACTGAGCCTTCGCGCCACTGCTTTAAAAGGATATGAATACAGGAATCCTTCCCTGTCACTTCTCCAAAGGAGAATCAGGGCGACAGCACTTTGGAAGATACATCACATGTCCCCACACTCTCCGTGGCTCCGTGGCCTGGCCCTGTGACCCACCTTCATCCCTTCCAGTGGGTCTGGCTCCTCTTGCCTCCTTACCTCCGTCCCTGCTGCTCTGACCACCGACCCCTCTTCCTGTGGCTAACTCGAACCCTTGCTTGGAGATGTGGCCCAATGCACAAATCATACGCTAGGGGACAACACTGCTGAGACTGAATCTCAGCTCTGCCATTTGCTAACTATAACCTACGCGCTACGTGCCTTGATTTCCTGGTCTGTAAAATGGGGATAAAATGGTATTTATCTTACAGGATGGCTTGAGAGGAGGAGGAAAAGAATGAGTACATGTAAAAGGTTAGAACAGGACTGGCACAGATGTTCTGTTTGCTATGAAGAGGAACCCTTTCTGAAGAGTTTTCCAGGAAGGGTTCTGAGGCCTCACCCTCAGTCCAAAAAGAGATCTCAATCTCCTCTATAGCCTAAGAGTTAATTGTTAATAATGTAGTAGCTAATCAATACTGGCGTGGGTTGAAGGGTCTCCTCTGCCTAAGGCTTCCTGCTGCACTCTGGCGATGTAAGACAGAGAGCCCAAGCTCTCAAAGAGTTTATAATGTAGCAGGAAAGTTTATCAGTCTGCCCCCCTTGGTGGACAGAGGGAAAGAATGATGGCTAACTCTTGAGTTTACTTTAGTTTTTGTTGGTGTTTTTGTTTTTTAATTCAAAGACTGAAACTCCTATGTGTTTGGGGAATGTATCCAATTTATCTCATTTAGAGTAGAATGTTCTGTATGTTTTTAGGATGTATTTGGAAGCATATTCAAATATGTATAATGAGGAGCTACTTTAAAGAAGTGTTATTGTATTTTTACAGGATTTGATGTCTGATTTTTAAAGTATTGTGGAACTACGTATGAGCCACAGAGTTATTTTCAGATCTGTGTTATTAGCATCGGTGAGTGAAGATCTATGGTAGCCACAGAAATTTATTGACAAGAACATACCCTTTGCTTCCACTGCCAGAGGAAAAATGCTTTCGGTTGCATTTCACTATAAATAGTATGAGATACAAAGAAGTTAAGTGTATTTCATAACCTGCCCAGATGGTTTTGAAATCTCCTTTTACCCCTGAGGCAGTCGAAGTTCACAGTTGATAATTACCAACTCCAGTACTGGCTTACATAATTTGCGGAACCCAGGCTGAAATGAAAATATGGGGTGCCTTGTTCAAAGAGCAGAGCATGAGACCACACATAAGTACCTTTGGAACATGGGGACCCACGTGACTGCACAGGTCATATGTCCTCATGGCTAGCCCAGCTGCCCTCTTTTATTAATTTAATGTATTTTAACATTAACGTCATTAACATACTTAAGGAACTTTCAAGCTTAACACCTTTGCTTGACATATTTACCAATATTTAATAACCTTCCCTTTGCTTCACAAATCTTTTTTCCAAAAATCATATTTCAGAATAAAA